AGAATTGCCCGGTAAACCGTAGGCAGAGAGAGAGAAGAGGACAACAAACGAGGGGCTGTGACAAATTGTTTCGTTGGAGTTTATATATATATATATATATATATATATATATATATATATATATATTGTCATATAACTATGAACTAAGAGAGTGCAATTTGCGAAACAAATGGTAAAAAAAAAAAAAAAAAAAAAAAAGACAAACATGAAGGGCACAGTGAAACCATTCATTTTACTCATTCTTCTTTTGACTCCCCTTTCACTGTGCCTCTCACGTACAAGGCTTGGCACATTGATGAAGTTGAGCGCGAGCTGGCCCCATCCCCGTGTGCCATAACAGCCCAATTGTACGCTGTGAGAAAGAGGCAGAGTGAAGGGGGAGGGGATAAACACAGGGAGGAGAGATGGAGAGCAGACAAACAAAGAACGATGAAGGGAAAGTAAGGGAAAGTATGGAGTGTGGAGTGAAAATGAAGGCAAAAGAGGATAAGAAAAGGCTCAAGAATGAGTCTGTCCTTGACGACAGAGAGGACATACATTGTTAGGATGACGTGGATGAAAAGGTGGAAGACCTAGCTGAGCATTCTCAGTGCAACAATTGCCACGACGGGTGGCATTGAGCATGCCTACCATACAACCCTGACAAATGGCATGTCGATTGCAGGCCAAAATGAAAGAAGAACGGTCACCACAAAAAAACATGCATTCAGCATGGCCACAAAATGGACATATGTCTGGATGCGGAGGGTGCCTGCAGTCAGGAACGGTGGGACAGTCCTCTGCACACATGGAGGCAGAAACCATGTCATTGTAGTGATTGTGACAGAGACGATGGCGGCTACAGCCGAGTGTAACAGTGTTTGTGGTTGTGCAAAGGAGAAGGTCACAGAGTGTTGGTACATTGTCTTGCTGCAGCACGGGGCCAGAGGAATGATCTTCAACATAAAAGAGATTGCGGACGGTTTGTTGTGGCAAAAAAACAACATCATTTTGTAAGAAATCAGTGACATCAATCATGGCATGGACCATGGCGCCGTTGGCCCACAGCTCCCAGTGGTCAGAGGCTTGTACAATGGCCATGTAATGGCCGGGGCTGTGGACAATGCAGGCAGAGATGTGGGATGGAGGATTAAACCACTCACCTGCTTGAGCATTGCGTAGTTCAAGTTGACCGTCCCTCATTGCTACTTGTAGGACAGCAATGGTAAAGTCTCCTTCGCTGGTATAATTACAATCCTCTGGCTGTCGTTGGGGAAGATCAGCATCAAGCTGAAGGGCGATTGCAAGGAAGTCTGATGGTGTATACAACGGGCGATGGAGAATGTGAAGACAGATATTAGTTGCTGTCAGACCACAGAGATTGGTGAGATTCTCAGGCTGGTTTGTTGGATGCTGGCCAACAATTTGCAGATCACCCAGATGGTGTTGCAAGCCCGAACTGTGTTGGGTTGTTTGCTGGTCAGTCATTTGCAGATCACCGATGTGGTCTGCATGTGGCGGAGCACAAAATTGTGGTTCATCCGAACAATGCTGGTCATCCATTTGCAGATCCCCCATGTGGTCTACGCCTTGTGGGGTCAACTGCAATCCAGGCAGATCATGTTCCAGTCCCACAATGTTTAGGGCTGCATCCTGAGTGGGGACTGTACCTGGAGTCGGGAGTGTACTCTGGGCAGCGGCTGCATCCTGAGTAGGGACTGGTGGCTGCCTGCAGGCAGCTGGACTGTCAGCAGGAGGCATAGGAGCGGATATTGCCGTTTGAAACAAAGGAACCCCAACAACCTGTGGAGGAGGCACAAAGAGAATTGGGGCAGACAAAGAAACAGGTTGCTGATCCCCGGACAAGTGACGATGTCGCGGATGTCATCGGTGATACACAACAAGAGGAGTAGTGGTGTTGCAAACAGAAGCTGAACTTCTACCTAGCAACGCAGGTGGAACAATGGGAACAATAGAAACTGGAGAGTTTGTTCGCAAGTGAGACCGTGGAGGAGACGGGGGTGGTGAGGAGGAACGCAGTCGTCTACGGCCAAGCACAGACAAAGATGAGAGGGGGGTAATATATAGTCAAACAGAGCTGCCTGGTAAACCATAGGCAGAGAGGGAGAAGAGGACAACAAACCAGGGGCTGTGACAAACTGTTTCATCGGAGTCTCATATATATATATATCCTGATGAGTCGGTGAAACTCCGACGAAACAGTTTGTCACAGCCCCTCGTTTGTTGTCCTCTTCTCCCTCTCTGCCTACGGTTTACCGGGCAGTTCTATTTGACGATATATATATCTGTTTGATGATATATATATACATATACATGTATATATATATATCATACTTGCGGCGCACTTAAGCGGTGCGCCGTGCGCCATGCGCTCACGGGTGATGTGTGCGCACATGCTCACCGCGCGCACTGAGCGCGCACAGGCAGTGCGCTGGAGTGCAGCCGAGTGACCCCCATGCCTGCGCATATGCGGATGTGCCCTTTTTTTTTTTTTTTTTTTTTT